CGGTGTTCCAATTTTCCCAAATAAGACGACCTTTGTCAAAGAGGTAGGGACTTGCCCCAGATCTCCAAGGTAGTACACGACAGGCCCAAGTTTCTGTTTCCTGGGCATCGGAGGATGGAGATGTGGAAGGAACCGATGGCCTCACTGGACAAATGAGGACACCGATTCCCCGATTCTCCTTCCTAGGTTGTTCTCCCTGGACCACTGCAACTCAACGTTCGGCTCTGAGCGGGTAGAGATAGACCCCTGAAGCTTCCCCAAACCCTTTTCCTTGCTCCTTTCAGAAAGGTCCCGCCGGGAGCAGGTCAGCTAGCCAGTGGCAGGCGAGGGACACTTCCAGGGCAGGAGCCGGCCGTTTCCAGGGAGACACGCGCTGGCTTGCTCCTTCGGTCCTCCAGAAACGAGCCCTCCTGAGCAGGGGATGGCTTTCCCTCCACGGCACCCGCTTCCAGCAGGTTGACTTCAGTCCTCCACCCCGCCCCCCGCCCCCTGCTCTCGGACCCTGCGCAGCACCCCCTTTCCCCCGGCCCTTGGCCGCAGCCAGAGAAGCAGCTCAGCGCGGTGGAGGGACTGGGCGTGTGTGTCTGTGTTTTGCTCGCAGGTGCCGGGGGGACACTTGCTCCCAGGAGCCCAGGGCAGGGGCGCTTTTCTCCGCCTCCTGGCCTGGCCCCAACAGCGGGGTTCCCCTCCTGCTGCCCCTCCCTTCCCCCCTCGGGGTCCCCGCTCTCTCCGGCTCCCGGTGGCCCCTTTATTCTGCAGCTGCTCTAAGGCTCTGTCCCATGAGCACCCACCCTTCAGCTCCTTGGCCCCCCCCCGCCCCTTTCCTCTCCTCCTCCCTTAGCAACGGGAAGGCTGTGGCTACCGGGGGCCCGGCCCGGGGCCAGAGGCTGCTGCGGGCTGAGCGCCGGGCGCTGGGCGCTGGGTGCAAGGCTCGGGGCGCGGGGGGCCAGCCGCCCGCTGCAGGTGGGGCTGGCCGGCGGCGGGCCACGGCCACGGCCACGGCCACGGCCACGTCCGGGCTCCCTCAACACGCAGCGCCATCAGCCCGTTCACCCGCCGCCGCCGCCTGGCGCAGCACCCAACCGCTTTGTATGTTCTCTGCTGTGCGCAAGGCGTCCTGCAAAAATGAGCCGTCCTCACCCCGCTGGGTAAGTGACACCTGGAACCAGCAAACGCGGGCGGCTGCTTCAGTCCAGGCTCCCCTCCCCCTCCCTCCTCTAAGGGAGGGAGGTAGGGAGGGAGGGGGAGAAAGGAGGAGGAGGAGGAGGAGGAGGAGGAGGGAGGAGGAAGAGAGAGGAGGAGGAAAAGAGACAAGAGAGGGGGGGAGGAGGAGGAGGAGGAGGAGGAGGGAGAGAGAGGAGAGGAGAGATG